GGATGGAGGGAGGAAGAAAGTAGGAAGAAAACAGGCACAGGAAAATAATCAGGTGAGAAGTCCCTTTAAAAACAAGTATGAAAGCGGTTGGCTATCTGGTCAGTCTCAATAAATCGACTAAATATATACTGAGTACCTATGGTGAGCCTAACACTGAACTAGGCCCCAACGGGTTTATAGTCTAGCTGGGAAGACAAGATAAGCAGATGAAAAATTATAGAAATAACAAGAGCCAAATAAAATTGCAATACAACAACAGAGGTGTCACAAGGCAGTCCTCATGTCATGAAATGACGAAAGAATGGAAATAGATAATAAGTAACACTGTCATGTAACCAGAAGCCAAGAGTTCTCTCTTGGGCCACATGTGGTCTCTAAGTTTAAGCCATGTCAGTCAGTCAATAAGCATTGATTATGCTCCTATTATGTGCCAGGCACTGTGCTAAGTGCTGGGGATGCCAAGCAAGTCCCAGGTGTCAAAGAGCTTACAGTCTAATGGGCAGGAGACAACACACAAAAAAAAAACTGCGTACAAATAAGCTATATACTGTGTGACGAATTGGTAGTCTTAGAGGGAAGGTACCCAAATTAAGGAGGACCAGGAAAGGCTTTTTGCAGAAGGTAGGACTTTAGCTGAGACCTCAAGGAAGTCAGGGAAGCTAGGAGGGAGAGATAAGTAGAGAGAGAATTCTAGGCATGGGGGACAGCCAGTGCAAATGTCCAGTTGGGAGATGAAGTATCTTGTGCAGGGAAGAACAAGATGGCCAGTGCCAATGGATTTCACAGTACTGTGATGGGGAGTAAAGTGTAAGAAGACTGGAAAGGTAGGAAAAAGATCATGAAGAGCTTTATAAGTCTTAGCAGACTTACATTTCATCCTGGAGGTAATAGGGAGCCACTGGAGTTTATTGAATAGAGTAGTAACATGGTCAGACCTGTGCCTAAAAGAAGATCAATTCTGACAGCTGAAGCAGAATATAAATTGGATTGGAGTGGGGAGAGACTTCAGGCAGGAAGATCAACCAGCAGGTTATTGCAACACTTCAGGTGTGAGGTCCTGAGGGCTCTTACCAGGATGGTACCATCATCAGACAAAGAAAGGGGCTTATAGAAGAGATATGAAGATAGAAATGACAGGACTTGACCCTGATTAGATATGGAGGGTGAGAGTAAGGAATCTAGGAGGACACCCAAGTTTCAAGCCTGGAGGACTAGAAGGATGGTGGTACCCTGGCCTGAACAGGGAAGTTGGCCAGCTAGGTAGTACAGTGGATAAAGTGCTGGGCTTGGAGTCAGGAAGACTCTTCCTGAGTTCAAATCTGGCTTAGAAATTTACCAGCTGTGTGACCTTGGGCAAGTCACTAAACCTTGTTTGCTTCAATTTCCTCATCTATAAAATGAGCTGGAAAAGGAAATGGCAAACCACTCTTGTATCTCTGCCAAGAAAGCCCCAGATGAAGTCACAAAGAGTCAGACTGAACAACAAAACAATAGGGAAATTAGGAAAAGGGAAAGGTTTGAGGGAAAAGATGATGAGTTTTGGACTTGTTGAGTTTAATGCCTGTGGGACATTCAGTTTGAAATATCCAATAGGCAATTGGAGGTATGAAACTGGAATTCAGGAAAGAGTTTAGGATCGAACAAGTGTGCCTAAAAGTCATCTGCATAGAAATGATAACTGAAAACATGAAGGCTGATGAGATCACCAAGTGAAATAGTATAAAGGAAGAAGAGAAGGTCCAGGATAGACCCTTTGGGCCACCTACAATTATCGGGCATGATCTGGATGAAGATCCAGCAAGAGACACAGAGAAGACGTGGTTAGACAGGTAGAAGGAGAACCAGGACAGATTAGTGTCATGAAAACTAAGAGAGAAGAAGACATCAAAGAGAAGATGGTGATCAACAGTATTGAAAGCAGCAGAGAGGTCGAGATAGATGAGTATCAAGAAAAGGCCATTAGATTTGGCAATTAAGAGATCATTAGTGACTTTGGAAAGAAGTTTTAGCTGAATGATGATGTTGGAAGCCAGACTACAAAAAGTTAGGAAGTGAGAGGAAAGGAGGTGAAGGAACCTTTTACAGATGGCCTTCTCAAGAAATTTGGCCATGAGAAGAGAAATATAGGATGATATACAAGTTCCTTCACTCTCCTGAGAGAACTTGTGTGTGCAACAGGAGGATGCACCCAAGTTTGGGGGAATTTTTTGGTTTGGGGCAGCAAGGCACAGTAGATAGAGTGCTGGACTTTAAGTCAGGAAGAGCTGGGTTCAAATCCTGCCTCTGGTAATAACTGTGTGATTCAGACAAGTTATTTAATCTCTCTGAGTCTCAGTTTCCTCATCTATAAAGTGAGGGGATTAGAATTATACCAGATGGCTTCTAAAATCCCTTCCAACTCCAAATCTATGATAATATACATGACTTCAGATGAGAGAAAGTATTAATGACTTACTCAAACTCACCCTGCACTGAAATCCCCAATGTCCCAGGAGAACCTTACTCTGATTTCCAGCAGGATAGGAGGTGATGCCTCACAATTTGTTATTCTACCCTCCTGATGTTACCTGACTACAGGGCCAGTACAGGTCTGCGGCCTGCCCTGTGAGGGAGGGCAGTACATAGGTCAGATAATCAGCCCCTACAGAAACTCCTCTAGAAAAAAATTGAAAAGGATGGTAAGCTTGGATCGGGGATGGGGAGGGAGTGAGGCAGCAAATCCCTTACAGAGATTTTCCCCCACACAAAGCAAAAGTTCTTCGGAACTTAGACTTTTGGAGTCTTTTAGAACTTATCTAGTCCAATGTCCTTCATTTCATAGATGAGGAAACAGAACCAGCAGCACTGAGCCATAGGATCAAGACAGTAAATGGAAGAGCTAGGCCTCCAAGATTCTAAATCTTTTTGTCTTTGAGGTCAGAATGCGACAATGCCACCACCCTGTAAGGGCCTTCCTGATCTCACACCTGAACACAACAGTGTGTTCAACAACAACTTTTTACTCAGAGCATGGTCCTTTAAGTTCCTCCTCCAAAAGGAAAACTTCCCCTGAGGTTCAAGGATTGTTTCCCAGCCTTGTTTGGTCAGATCTGCTTCTTCCTGCTCCCACTCCCCACCCCCACCCCGGGGACTCTGCTCTGCTTCATAGCCTCTCTAGTCTGGCTATCTCCCCCTGAAGGATTATGGATGACAGAACAGATTTTGAACTTGAGGCTCCAGGCAGTCTGGGTGTTGCTAAGAGTGTTCCATCACTTAGCCTCCATTCAGGCAGTGTCAGTCTCTCCCCTCTGCCTTTATGAACAAATGTTTCTGGTTGCACAACACTCAGCAATGAATGCCAGCTCAGTGGTCCTGCCCCTAGTGTGGGCCTCTGGGCAGCGACACCTGGGGCCTGACTGTTTTTAGAACACTGATAACCCCAAACAGAGTTGGGTAGGACAGAAGGGAGAAGGAAAGAGAGGCTTGAGGAGGTGACAGCGGCATCTGTCTATAAGTATACTTAGTGATGCACTGGAAAAAAGAGTCCTGACCAAATCCTCTCACTTGGTCCCAATGTGACCAGTTTACCTCTCCCTAAGTGGAAAAAAAAAAGTACTAGAGACTGGATGAATGGTCATCTATTCAGGGAGCCCCAGTCCAAGGAGGAATGTTATAGGATTATCAAAAAGAGATTCCTTCCACCATCAAACTTTGCCCTGTTTTTATCCTGGTAGCCTCTTTCCCCCTTGGAATCTCATTAAGGTTAGTCATCATCTCTTTCTGCATCCAAGCAAAAGAGCCACATAAGGAACATATCAACGGCAAATCATAAATGACACTGAAGAAATGATTCAAATCCCTTCTACTGTTTAGCCTCCAATTGCTCCTTCTATAAAATAAAGGAGTTGGAGCAGAAGGTCTCTGCAATCCCTTGTAGCTCTAACAGCATAATTTTATGACTCCCCAAGCTAGTCTAAAAACCTCAATTGCCTTTCATGCAGCCCCTTTGAAAAGTAGCATAACGTATTGGAAAGAGCTCTGGAATTAGACTCAGAGTATGTACAGTCCCCAAGTCATTCATTCATCAAGTTAGTTACCTCGCTAAGGAAGTGCAAGAGATGCAAAGCCAAAAGCGAAACCGCAAGGACCTTACATTATATTGTAGGAAATTACAGGTCAACATATAAATAAACACAAAATACTTACAAGATAAACACAAAGTACTTTCAGGAGGAGAAGAGCACTAGTAACTGAGGTGATCGGGATAGGCCTCGAATAGAAAATGGCACTTGGGGGCCAAGACCTGAATAAAGCTGAGGATTCCAACGAGATGGAGTTGGCTAGAGGAAGCATTCCGGGCATGGGAGGCAGCCCACTGAAAGGTCTCAAGACAGGAGATGGAATGTTGTAGATGGGGAACAAAAACAAGGCCAGTTTGGCTAAACTTCTCAGAGGGCATAAGGGGGGGTAATATGCCATGAGTCTGGCAAGGTAGGCTGAAGGGCACTTGCCAAACAAAGGAATGTGGATTTCATTCTATGGGCAATTAGAAGCCTTGGAAGCCTCTTGGGAAGTGGGGGGGGGGGGAGGCCCACTGGTGACATGGTCAGACTCTGTCTCTGCCACACGCTAATTCTGTGACCTTGGCCAAAACATTCAACTTCCCTAGACCTCAGTTTCCTTATCCGTAAAATGAGAGGGTTAGACCACGTGATCTTCATGCTGTATCTTTCAGCTCCAAATCCCATGATCCTACTAATTTCTACCCTCAGTGGACCTCATGATGTCCAAGTAAATAAGATTCCCCAAAGATATGGGAATTTGACACCCAAGCAAATTCCCCAAAGAAGATCCTTATCAGAGAAGATGGTGGGGGCAAAAAAAGTCTAGTCTTCAACACCCCAGACCTTAATGCCAACTCTGATGCTGAATTATATGGGGGAAGCCACCCACCCATGCCTATACGATGGGTTCTCTTCTGACAAGGGACAGTGGGCAGAAAGAAGAAAATAGAAACCAACCTCCTCAAGATTCTCAGCATCAGCCAGGCTCCCTTTCCTCCAGGGATTACTTCCTTGTAGAATGAAATCCACCACTTTAGAATTCTGGAAAATCACTCCAATCAAAGCCATGGCTTTGTCCACTGCAGTGACCATCTTGAGGAGCCCTTCAAGCATTGTGCTGTGTCGGGAGGTGTCCCGCTGCACAGCTCTCACCAACTCCAGCATCTCGGGGCATCCCGTCTGAACATGGGCTTGAGTCAGTCCTTCCCAAGGGAGATCTGCCTTAGAAGCGGCTGCCATCTTGCTGATGCCCCGTTCTAGGTCACCAATGCCTCGATATACACTCTCTAGTTTTCCTGCCACATCTTCTTGGAAATTCAAGAGTTTATCAACCTTTTCATTCAGCAAGTTCAATTTTTTGTCCATGGTGTTTAAGCAGCTCCTGCCAGTCACTGGCAGCCTCGGTTTCCCAGCATCCCCACAAGTCCCTGAGCTCTCCTTGGAAGAGTCAGACATTTTGACCAAGAGAGAAACAATCACCAGGAAGTCTAGTGAAACTTGGTATTTGCAAACTAGACTGTGGGCCCCTGGAAGTTCATTATTCTTCTTGTCTAGTTCCCTCTCCTTTGGAATTCAGATCAGATTGCTTTCAAGAGGCTTTTAGGCTGTCTTCTTTAGCCCCCTGGACATTGCTGTTACTGGGAGAAGGGGGCTGTGTTTTTCTGTTATCTTCTCCCCTGCAGGGCCTGCCCATGAGTGACAGGCCATACTTGGCATGAGTCCCTCTCTTTGGGCCACTTTGACATCACAGTGACATTTAAAATTCCTCTCTGAGAGGCTGCTGATGGGCAAATATCTTCAGAATTGATATCACTTGTCTGGGGAACTGACATGAACTTCCAGAAAAAGAAAAATCCTTTAGGCAACTTCCCTCTCTCCAGGCAAAGAGGGCCCGAGGAGGCCAGATTCACCCCCCTGAATACTATTGAGATGTAAGAAATGATGGTGCAGACCCTGAATGCTGGAGCTACATTCCAGCCACCTATCACTTGATTTTAAAAATAGAACCCAATGACAATAGCCTCTAATCCTTTCCTGGCACCAAGATACACTTGACAACCTGGAGCTACCTTCCTTGTAGGGGTCCCTCCTCAACCCCAACTGAGAAAAACTCTTTGCCAGTTGATGACCACGCAGTTACTCAGCTTCCCCGTGGAACTGGAGAATTTTGGAGCCTAGAACTGAGGCTGGGAGAGAGGAAGTGATTTGCCCAAGGAAGCAAAGGGTGTAAGGGACGAACTCAGGGACTGAAGATCGGTGACTCTAAAGCAGGAAAAGCCTTTCTATTTTATTGTTAATGAGAATAAGGACCCAGAAGAAAGCATCTTAAATTGCATTAGATTTTTGTCTTTTAAAATCCTTTGAATCTGTATACACATTAGTTTCCTGAGGCCTGGGCTAGAGTTTCTAGGCACATCAACACATGAAATACATGTATATATTAGTTTATGTGGATATGCATGTGTTCATGTATACATGAAACTATATGTGTGTGTATGTACTTATATACATAATGTGTGCCTCACTTTAAGTCAGTTCAACTAAATTCACAATTTAGTATTTTTAAGTGACAATGTGCCAGGCACTGTGCTGGAAAGTGAAGATCCACAGACTAAATGAGACAGTCTTTACCTTCAAGGTAAAGGAACTTACATTATACTAGGTGGGAAATAACACATATTCAGATAAGTAAAAACAGTGAATAGAGAGCACCAGCCCTGGAGTCAGAAGGACCAGAGTTCAAATCCGGCCACAGACATTTGACACGTACTAGCTTGTGACCCTGGGTCACTTTACCCCAATTGCCTCGCCAAAAAAAAAAAAAAGATAAGTAAATATGAAATAAAGACAGAGTCATTTCAGGGGTAAGGAAGAGCCTGCTGTGCTACCAAGCAGCGGAATCAGGACAGGCCTTTGAGCTAAACTTTGACAGAAGCTCAGGATTCCAAGAAGCAGAGATGAGGAGGGAGAATCATGGGAGGCAGGCAATGCAAAGACACGGACAGAGAAGATCAAATGCTGAATTCAAGGAAGTGTCAAGAAGACTGTCTTGGCTGGCAAGGAGAGAAGGAAAGAAAGAAGGAAGGAAAGAAAGAAAGAAAGAAAGAAAGAAAGAAAGAAAGAAAGAAAGAAAGAAAGAAAGAAAGAAAGAAAGAAAGAAAGAAAGAAAGAAAGAAAGAAGAAAGGAAGGAAGGAAGGAAGGAAGGAAGGAAAGAGAGAAAGAGAGAGAGGACGGAGAGGAGAGAGAAGGAAGGAAGGAAGGAAAGAAAGAAAGAAAGAAAGAAAGAAAGAAAGAAAGAAAGAAAGAAAGAAAGAAAGAAAGAAAGAAAGAAAGAAGGAAGGAAAGCATTACCTAAATAAGAATATTATTTAAAAAGAAAAGAAGTAATCAAACCAGGGTATTTTTTTTGATATGGTACAAAGAAATGATCATTGAACTGGGCATCAAGAGACCTATGTTGCAGCCCTGACTCTACCTCCAATGCACTATATGACTTTAAGCAAGTCATTTCCCTTCTCTGGACTCAGCTTTCCCATTTGTAAAATTTAAGGATTCAGCAGGCCATTTTCTGCTCTAAAATTCTATGATTCTTTGCCATCTGTGATGTTCTCGGCAGAGTCTCTCACTCTGAATCAACCAGAAGGGATCTGGGCCTTCCAAACTGTCATCATTGTGTCATATCACAGTAACCATGTTACTCCTCTGCTCAAAAAGCTTCAATGGCTCCCTATTGCCTCTAAGGTCAAACAATTCATCCTTGTTTTTTAAGGACTACCATAATCTGGTTCCACCTACCTTTCCAGATTTATTTCACATTACTCTCATTTATGAATTCTACATTCCAACTAAACTGAACTAGCCTTCCCCACTTCTGCCCCACTCCCTCAAACTAGATATTTGATCTTTAACTATGTGTATTTGCACAGGCTGTTATGCAGTTCTAGAATGAGCTTCCTCCTCATTCCTGCCTTTCAGAAGCCTCATCTTCCTTCCTAGCTCAACTCCAGTATAATATCTTCTGTGAGGCCTTCCCTGGTCCCCTGAGTTGTTAGTGCTGTCTCTCCCCAATTTAATTCACATTTACTTATCTACACACCTTAGCACAGTGCCTGGCGCATAATAGATATTGAATAAATGCTTAATGAATGAATAAATGTAACCCTTCAGTCTAACATAAGCTCCCGGAGAGCAAGGACTATTTCCTGTTCTAAATAATGTGTACTTAGCACAGTGCCTGGCACATAGTAGGTTTTTAGTGTTTATGGAACTGAATTATATACAACAAATTCAATTGTCACCATGAAATAAGTTGGGCTGAGATAATCTGTAATATTCCTCCTCTAACATTCTGTGATGCCAAATATCTATTACGTATCATGCCCAACGTGGTACAGAACACAAGAGAAGCTTCAGGCACAGTCTCTGCCTTCAAAGAGATCACAATCCTGTTGGAGAAATCAACAACTCTGTACGTGTAGTTAGAGAATAGTATCAGTTTATCATCACATGCTAAAAGTACTTGGCGTGTATGTTTTCCTCCCTTCTTTGCAGAGGTAGGGGGCTATGGATATGGACTGTTACGTCTACGGTTAGATACTACTGATGTGTTGGCTGGTTTTGCAGAAATGCCTTTTCTGCTTTATTTTTTTATAATTAATTTATTTATTTTTAGTTTTTGACATTCACTTCCGTAAGACTTTGAGTTTTAAATTTTCTCCCCTCCCACTCCTCTGCCCCACCCCAAGACAGTGTGCAATCTGATATAGGCTCTACTCATACATTCATATTAAGCATATTTTCATATTAGTCATGATAAAAAGAACAATTATAACTAATGGGAGGAACCATGAGAATGATCTGCTTTATATTTTAAATAATTGTGACAAATGATAGCTCTCTGTGGAGGGGAAGTAGGAGGGATATATTTGGATATAAAGGTAATATAAAGATAAAAGACATAATTTTTTTAAGGGGAGCATATAGTAAAGACTCTAAGTGCTGAAGGGGTTTAGAGAAGAAGGGATCAATGTGGGCTGGAATGATCAAGGAAGGATTCCTAGAGGAAACAGGTATTCAGCTGTTATCCTTGAAGACTGGTGAGGATTTGAAGAGGTGAAAAGGAGAAGAGAAGGCATTCTGAGCTGAAGGAGCAACATATAAAGAGATGAGGAAGTGAAACTAGGGATGGGAGATGTACAAGAGAGTGATACGGACGTTTCCTTTTTTTGGGGGGGGGGGGTTAGGCAATGGGGTTAAGTGACTTGCCCAGGGTCACACAGCTAGTAAGTGCTATGTGTGTCAGGCCAGATTTGAACTCATGTCCTCCTGACTCCAGGGCCAGTACTCTATCCACTGTGCCACCTAGCTGCCCCAAAATTATTCCACCTCTTTTTTTTTTTTAATTTTTAGGCAATTGGGGTTAAGTGACTTGTCCAGGGTTACATAGCTAGTAAGTGTCAAGTGTTTGGTCTGAAGCCAAATTTGAACTCAGGTCCTCCTGACTTCAGGGCCAGTGATGTATTGATACGGACATTTCTGCCTGAAACAGAAGATGTATATCAAGGAATTCAGTTACTATCCAGTTTACACAATAATAGGCAAGATTATGAAAGACCTTGAATTTATTCATTCATTGATCCGTTCAGTGAACATTGAGCTAAGCCATAACTAGCTATTTTGGCACCTGGGGCAAGTAGCAGTGAGAAGCATACCCTCAAACCAGCTTTGTAATTCATGATGTGGAAATAATACAAGAAGTAATTAAGACAAATTCAGTTGATAGGGAAGGGAAATTAGTTACCATAATAGCTCACAGATGGATGCTATTAACAATGATCTAAAATAGGCACATTAATACACAGTCGTTAGTAAGTCTGTGAATTGGTCCAGCTATTCTGGAAAGCAGTTCGGAATTGTGCTCAAAAAGTGACTAAAATGTGCATTTGACCCAGAGATATCACTATTAGGTCTATACCCCAAGAAGATCAAAGAAAGGGGGAAAGGATCCATACGTGCAAAAATACTTACAGTAGCTCTCTTTATGGTGGCAAAGAAGTACAAACTAAGGAGGTGTCCATCAATTAGGAAATGGCTAAATGAATTATGTTATAGGAATGCAAAGAATGCTATTGTGCTAGAAGGAATGATGAAGGGACAGTTTCAGAGAATCCTGGAAACACTCGTATGAAGTGATGTAAAGTTAGTAGAACCAGGAGAACGGTTTGTACAATAACAATATTGTAAAGATAAACAACTTTGAAGGACATAAGAATTCTAATCAACTCAATGACCTACCACAATTCCAGAGGATCCGTGACAAAACATGCTACCCCTGAGAAAGATGTGATGGATTAAAGGTGCAAATTGAGACACATGTTTTTAGACATGGATAATGTGAGAATTTGTTTTGCTTGACTCTAAATACTTGTTATTAGGGTTTTGGTTTTCTTTTTCTTTTCCCAATAAGGGGAGGTAGGAAAGAAAGAAAATAGATTTTGCTCATTGAAAAAAAAAAATTAAGGGGAGGTAGGTGGCACAGTGGATGGAACACTGGCCCTGGAGTCAGGAGGACCTGAGTTCAAATCCAGCCTCAGACACTTGACACTTACTAGCTGTTTGACCTTGGGCAAGTCACTTAACCCCGATTAACTCACCAAATAAAAAAAATATTAAATTTAAAATGATCT